TTTATTTTCGTTATGTGGATGACATAATAGTGGCCACCTCTATGACTAATATGACTCAGATTGTGAATAATTTTAACAACTATCATGAAAGACTTAAATTCACGGTCGAACAAGAGGTTAACCATAGCTTGAATTTCTTAGATTTATCACTTAAAATTATTAATAACAAATATATATAGACTGGTATCAAAAAGAAACCTTCTCAGGAAGGACGTTATCATTTTATTCAAACCACCCACTATGCCACAAAATAGGAATAATATATAACCTTGTAGACAGATGTCTATTGCTATCACATCCACTATTTTTTAATAAAAATTTGGAGTTAATTATTAATATACTCAGAAGCAATGGTTACCCTCTTGATCTGATTTTTAACAAAATTAATCATCGGATAGAACACATCATATCTAAGGGGAGCATTATAGAGAGACAGGCCAACATAGAAAGAACAAAAAGTATAAGAAATGACTCGGTCAATAAAAAATTCTTTGTCATTCCGTATATAGATGGGATCTCAGAAATGATTGTTTCCTCGGTAAAAAATAAAAATTGTATGGTAGGGTATAGATGTCTCAACAAACTGGACAATATTATTAAAGCGCAGAAAGATAAAACTAAACATCCATGCAATTCGAATGTGGTTTATAAGATCAGTTGCAATAATTGTAATGCATCTTATGTAGGCCAAACAAAGAGGCAATTGCAGACGCGAATAAAAGAACATAAAATAATATTAGGTTGGACTCAACGAAACATTCAGTAATTTCTGAACACATAATAAATGAACATCATACTTTTAATTGGGACAATGTTAAGATCATGGACAACGAAAATAATTATTATAAAAGACTCATTTCTGAGATGCTACATATCAAGGAACAAAAAAATGGACTAAATTTAAACAAAGATACTGAGTTACTTAGCGAGTCGTATTTTGATATTTTGGATATATTAGCGAACAAGAAATAATAATAGGACAAATAGGACATTAACGAGTAAAACATAGATATTAGATCATATATAAACACGCACGCTCTCCGATCAAGTAGAGTTTAAAATGAGCTGTCTTTCTGTATTGTTGGTTTGTTATGTGTCATCCTTAATAACTGTTAATAAGTAGCAAAATTATCAAGAAGAACGATGATAGGTAAGCATACTACCAATTGTAGGGGATACATATTATAATTTGGACATGCGTTGATCGGTAATTTTTTATAAATCGCAGCGCCTACGGAACGGGTTAATTTCTCGCATATTAACGATGAAACTATCCGAGATCTGAACAAAATCAGGGATCATATCGAGGCGAACATTGTTGGACAGGACGGATTGAAACACGCGTTAATTACTCAAAAACTCTTGATTCTGAATAACTATAATTAAATTTCGATATTATGTGAATTGTAAGAATTTATATTTCAATAATTATACTGAAGAAGACCGCGTGCGGTCGAAACGTTTATAGAATGATTGTAATTTGCGTTAGTTTTAATATAATGACTGTAGTTTTATAATTTATACATGTAATAAATGGTAGTTGACTGAACATCTCGAATATTCAGCTCGATAAGTTGGCCTTATATTTATCACTTTGTTTTCAATATACGAGCGACAATTTATTAATTTAGAGAATATAAAGCTTCCGTGTGTGAGAGCATGAGACGTGTGGGATCAGATCTCTATTCTGCTTCTTGCGAAAATTGCGTGTGGAAAATGAACATTATATTTATATAGCTAGATGCAAGCTCGTGATAAACACGATCGGCGTTTCCAATGGGAAAAGAAGCCCGGTCGTTTCTTCTCATTCGGGTCATCGGTATACACCCAACAAAATTCATCGCGGAATATGTGTAATTGTATATATTCATCCGAGCTCTCTATACCTACTACAAAATGTTCTTTAACGGGACTTTCATTGAGCATACCAGAGAGATCGCGCGCCTTTGCGGTTACTTCGATTTGAACAATCGTCGTGATCCTTTCGTAGTAGAACGGCTTTCGTTCTCTTTTTGCAGCCACGCGTATCAAATAAAATTCGAAATCTCTTTCGAGAGTCTAACGATTATATCAAATGCGTGCTAATTACTCCGATAATAATTTGCCTCGATAATTTGCATAATTAATGACAGAGATGCTCCGAATACATCTCTATTCGTTCGCTGCTTCGTTACAACGATATATGTGACCGATATGCGAACTTTGCGGAATTTTGAAAATCATTTGCGAATCTATTTAGAATTATGAAAGTCATTAATTAAAGAGCGAAACGCGGTCCGTAATGGGTGAGATCGAGGTGATGAACCGAATGGATGACCTCTATTTAACCGCGAATTCCTCGCGCGGACTTGAAACAGCGTGGTTGCATCTGACATATTCCCATTCTCCATTTATATATTTATAAATATAAATATATTATATTGACATTATATAAAAAATTTATATACATAATATTGATTATATATATATATATATATATATATATATTTCTAATAAAAATTTACATTTTTTTCAAATCAATAAATATAAGTAATTCACAAGTACATTTAAATAACCACCGAAAGAATATTAATACAAAGTTATTAGTACAAAAAATGTATGTTTATTGATATTAAGTTGTCTCGGGAATATGAATTTTCGAAAATTGATTAGCTCGATTCAATAGATAATTTATCGCTTATTTACATATTGATTAATCATATTAATTCGCGGAATCAGCTCTCTGACCTGTATGCGTGCACGTGCACAGATTGTTCGTCGCAGGATTCGGCAGCAATAGAGTCGCGGCTACGACGTCTTCTCGCTGCACGGCTGCCAGCACCGCATGACCTGGTACCAAGTGTTTCACCGCCGACCTCGTCGAGCCACCCGGATGAACCGTTTGTATTATTCTTCAGACCTTATTTGTTGCTCTCCTCACCTATCAAATTCGGCAGCAATAGAATCGCGGCTACGACGTCTTCTCGCTCACGGCTGCCAGCACCGCCACGTACCAAGTGTTTCACCGCCGACCTCGTCGAGCCACCCGGATGAACCGTTTGTATTATCTTCAGACCTTGTTGCTCACCTATCAAATATAAATGCATCGCCGTTCACGTCGCTTGCGCACCCTGGCATTGTTTGCATCTCGCGATGCACATTCCGCACAATCGTTTCAACATTTAAACGTGCGACACATGGTACATAATAAAGATATGCATTGAAAAATTAATGGATATATATAGGACTTTTTTTCGAAATAAAGTTTGCTAAATCTTCTATATAAAAGTAACATTGCCAGCTATAGAGAGGCGGCAGTTAATTAATAATAATAAAGTCAAAGTTTCTCGCGTCGTACAGTTTTAATTCTCTTGATTGCCTCGTTCTTTATCTCGCATCCCGCATTCGCGAGGATTCGTCCTTGTACTTAAAGAGAATCACGTGAGAGAGCAGATATACGCGAAGAGGCGTGTGTATATGCGCCGCGTAATTCTCTCTCTCTCTCTCCGAACAGCAACGTGTTCCACTTCGCGAAAACACTTAATTACCGCGCCGTCGATCATCGCGACGATTCGAATTGCTGAAATGCTCGCGAGACCGGTTATGGATATCTACCACCTACGGGCAACCCCGTAGACTTTCCCGCATACTTCGTCCATACCTCGCGCAATTACACTTACACAATAATTAGATGAATTCATTTCGTAACGTGTCTTTTTCTACGCGATGTGCGTACGTGCCTTGCGCGGTGCAATTTCGACAGAATAGCGAGTGCATCGAATAAGTGGAGGAGAGAAGCTAAGGAAAAAATAGGAAATGGAAAAAAATAAAAATTTATATGTAGGTTGTTTTTACATATCTGATAAAATATATAATACATATATATATATATATATATATATATAATAAAATATATATATATGTATATGTAATATGTAGTAAATGATTTTCAGGGAATGGTTGTCGCGAATACAGTTAGAAATGAATTTAATTAAATTGTAGCAACCATCCATGTCCCTGTCGCGAACCGTTCGCGCATAATAATAATAATAATCTTTTAACAGCATGTGATCGGGCACATCTGGTGCACGCTACTTAGATAAAAAATTTGTTAATCATTACAAAGAACCCGTTCGCTTCATTTGACGCCGTTATTAACGAGCGTTGAATCATTCCTTGCACTGCTGTTTAAGTTCGACTGACGTTTAATGAGATTTATTGCATCACGCAAATGCGATTTCTAAACGAACGAGCGTATCATTTTTTTTCCAGACGCCACTTGATATGCATCGAGAAGCGCATGCCACGTGCTAACCCTTTTAACAGTCACGAAACAGTTTTGGCACTGCGTTTATTTTCTCTTTTCTCTATTCGCCAATGTTAACGTGTTAGTATATACTGAACTCGTTTCTATAAAATTCGGGTCAGTGAATTTATTATTATTTTTATTCGCTTGGCGAACACGTAACGTTACAGATTCGTTAAGTTGCATGCGCTTTCAGAAAACAACAATTTCATTGTACATCTATTGTAACTGTCAGAAAAAAAAATGTCTTAAACAGATAAAAGTATATGGTATATGTAATGGTAAGTAATGTAGTATTTTGTAACAAGAATAGACATTCTCTTTTATAAATATTAATCGAGAAACCATACATTTTGAAGTAAAAATTATTGGAACGCGTTATACAGATGGTTTCTTCACCGCGCAAGTTATATATCGCGAACGCGAGTTTCATTGAAGTTGATGCATCCTTCCTCAGCTTTATAATTATCGAAAATTCCCACGTTCCTAATATACATAAAGGCGTCACTAATTCGGGTTACAACGTCGTCGTTTCGTCGCGATCGATTAAGAGAAAACGTGGAGGATCATTTCGAGGGATCAATCTAAGCCCGTATCTTAGATAAGGTCGTGATTTTTATGATCTCCGGCGAGTATGTTTTTATTGCTAGAGGTGCAGATAAATAGAGATAAGAGAAGAATAAATAGAGGATATGTGTTGGCGTGAATTCCCGATTGCGCGTCGTCGTTTAATTCGTTTCCGTTTAAGATACTTTCGACGCGCGCTGCCAAAACCGGATTTTAGGATGGTACCACTCACCTGTAGCGTGACCTTGAAAGGTTCTTGAAGTCGTTCCCGCTCCAGCAGGTAAGCTATGGCACCGGGCATCGCGTCCACTCCTTTGGCCTCTCTCGCGCCAAGATACCAGACGTAATAGAAGCTCTTCTTGACATCCTTGCTACCTCTCAGGCGTAGGGCCATCACTCACTGTGTTCACGAAGAAATAAATCAGCTTCATCATTTCGTTCTTCCAGAGAAGGACTTGTTATCGAGGAAATGGATTGAAACGGTAAACGCGCCGGATAATGAAGGATCCGTTATTACGGATGTATTCGACATTTAATCGAAGTGCTCTTTAGACGAGTGCCTTTATATCGATTTACTCGATTTACAATACAACAGTCTTTCTTTTATATTCTAAATAACAAATAAGAATGAGATTTTTCCCGCTGTATTCTAATCTAATATATATTGTATATTGTATGAAAATTTAACTCGGGCCGCTTTTGAGCTAAATAAATATAATTATACGGCATGTGCGCGTGTGTATGTGTGTGTGACGTTAATTTATTACTTGATAAAGGCACACCCAACTGATAGAACCATGGCGTAAAGCGATAACGTACAGCTTGCTGTTTTTAATGGTCGCAATAACACTTTTTATCATTACGGGCTGTGAATAGTTTTATGAAGGAGAATCTGAAATTGGAAATTACTACAACAATAAATAACTAGTAAAGTTCTTCCTCGCGTGATAGTTGACAAATTGAAAAATATTTTTATACGTAATATATGCGAATATATTAAATACTCATGCACGGAAGCGACTGCGGAAATTGCGCGGATAATGTCATGATCGCGCAAAACGTAAACAGATACAATTTCCTGCATAATTTTTATTTAATTATACACTTCATCTTTCTCTCCTTCTTTCTTTCTCTCGATTGAAGAAAAACGTCAATTTTCCACGAGCTAGGCTTTTACCGTACTTGCCGCGCGAGCAAGCCTGTCGGTTCATCCACTTCCTCAATTACTTTCACGCTTAAACCCGTTTCCACGTTATCCATCTCGCGGCGAATCGTTTCCCACTGATTCTTAACGACGATGGTGCATTACAACGGAAATATTTTACCAGTTGAAAGCGTATCGAGCGATATCAACCGATGAAACAAATCATGAAAATTCACGTGTTTTTAGGTGTGATATTGACGAATGACAATTTTCGGTATTCGATTATTGTTGTTTCAAATAAGTGTTCTTACAATAAAATATTTTTTACATTAGCGGGAGAGAATATCTCGTAGTTTGCTAATTTTTCAGGTAATACTAGATTAAATTTTGACACGCTTCTCTTTCTTCTGATCTTCAAATTAACGTTTGCTTGCAAGATTCGTCGTAACTACTTAAGCGTATTTTGCACGTCTTCTTTTCATTTTGGCGCTACACATGCGCGTTGAATTTTAAATATCCTGATTGAATATCACTTCGCACGCGTGGCTGTGTATAGTTTCAAAAGTGCTTGCAAAAGATTTTTAATAAATTTTGTAAATATTTTTTTTAAATAAAGCGATGTCAATTACTCTCGACATTTACACATCTCATCTTAAACATAATTGTCAATTATCAAGAGAATTTTAAAGGAATTTTAATTAAAAAAAAAAGAGAAGACACAAACTGCGTTTCTTTCAGAACACGAAGACAATCCTGGACATTTAAGGATGTTCATCGCCGGGATCGATCCAAAGTTGGTAGCCCTACGCGACAGCCCTAGTCCCTGCAGCAGAGAGATATTGGGGCCCTATACTATTCTGCCGTACATCGTCACTTGCCTGTATATATGTCGGCGATCTTCGCCTCGCGTTTCACAACTATCCTGAAGAAGATCCACAAAGTCGGGGTGCCTCTCGCACGCGCGTCCCGCACACGTCATGTACATACGATCGCACGAACACGATATGCACACCTGTAACTCGCGGTCTCGTCTGACAGCTGCGGGAGTCTAACAACTTTTCCACGCAGGGGCCGTAAGGCCGCTCCGTTCTGTCGAGCGACGCTCGTCGATCTGAATGGCGGGAACGGAACGGAATGGAACGGGGACCAACGGGCCCCAACTCGACTCGAAAGGCAAAATCGGTCTTCTCCGGGGCCCCTCGGCTCGGTTCGCTGATGAGTACTTATCAAAAATTATTTTGACATATCAAATATATGCTGAAATAATTTCACGAGATAATGGAAGAATACTGAGTGTGAGCAAAAAAAACGAGAAAAAGAAAGGGAATAGAGATTGGAGTCACGAGACTTTTATGTTCAGTTCTATGGCGGCCTCTCACGCTTGTGTTCCGAAGGTCCCTGACATATCCAGATCTTCTGCCCTTTCTCTCCTAAGCTCTTCTCCTACCTTCGCTCTCTGTCCGATCGCCACACCTTCCTGAAGATCGATTCGAGATCGACCGCGACGGTAACACTTTCCACGCTCGCAAAGAGAAAGAGAGAGGCGCCTCTAACAGCAACTTCTAAGCAACGCTGTCAAATAGATTCCGTCCTGAATTCTCCGTCTTGATTCTCCTTCATCTCTCTTCGAAGAAGAGAGAGGAACGCGGGTCTTTCCTCTCTGCTCCCCTTCTTTTCTCCTTTCTCTCTATCTTATGCTTCAACGACGTCTCTCTCAATTTATCTACCTGCTTGCGTCTATCTACCTTGCTCGGGTTTCATCCTCTACCTTTCTTTGAACCTTCGCTGCATCAATAGTAACCCAAGTCAATAAAGAAGGAAAGAGAAGACGGGGACCAATCTTAATCTCTTGATTTCTTCTTCTTCGAGGTGTGAAATTTTGTCAGCCGGTTTTTTCTTCTTTCGATGCATCTCGCTTGCATCCAAAAGTTTCACAAAAACATCGCTCGAGAAGTTTCTCCCCTTCTCTGCATTCAATATACTATGTGAATATTATATACCGGAACACCTGAATATCTCGAAAACAAAGCGTTGTATAAAAAAATGTTAAATACAAAAGTTGTAGGGTTTAAAAAGATCTATTTTATGATATTAACAGTTTGACCTGAAGTTGCGTCATAAAGATCAGGTCAAGGTCACAATGATTTTTTTTAATGGATATCCCCATTTTTTATTGTATATTCTTATAGCTTATCTCGAGAGCTTTCCAAAACACTATACTTAAGTATTTTTTCGTTAAGTACTTTTCGAGTTAAGAGGCTTCAAAGTTACGCTCTTTAGCATTAGCGCGCGTGGATACCGTAGTGACGAGCACGAACGCGCGTAAGGCTGATGGCCTAAACAAACGTAAACGCAAGGGCAGCTCTCGTTTACCGCGCTTGTGTTTACGTTTTTCTCTGCCTTAGCTTACGTCTACGCCACGACAATTACGTCGCGTTCTCTGCCATCAGCCTAACAAACAAGAATTCAAGAATCGCGCGCGTTTAGGCAGAGATTCACTCTGGTTTAGATACGTCGTAAATGGTTTACCCAAGTTGGCTCTATTTTTTCTAATCTACGTTGAAAATTAAAGTTATTACTATCCTATTAATTCTTGTTTGTTTTAATTTGCAAAAATGTTACATCTCTCAGAACAAGAACGCATATCGCTTTTGATGATGAGAGGATGGGGAGATAGATTAAGATCTTACACTGACGTTAAAAATCTTTTCAATTACACTTTCCGAAATGCAGATAATGGCATATCAAGATCTACAGTTCATAGAACCATTAGGCGTTTCGAGCAAACAGGAAGTGCAAAAATCGTCCCAACCTGGTAGGCCAATATCGGTAACAAGTCCGGAGACATCACTAGATGTTTTATTATCTGTCATCGAAAACCCACATGACTCAAGTCGAAGAGTAGCTCTGCAACATGATATTAGTCAGGGATCTGTACTTAAGATATTAAAAGCAAATAAATTCCACCCTTTTAAGGTTCATTTAGTACAAGAACTAAATGAGGATGACTTTGATAGGCGTAGTATAGCGGTAAGTACTTAACGAAAAAATACTTAAGTATAGTGTTTTGGAAAGCTCTCGAGATAAGCTATAAGAATATACAATAAAAAATGGGGATATCCATTAAAAAAAATCATTGTGACCTTGACCTGATCTTTATGACGCAACTTCAGGTCAAACTGTTAATATCATAAAATAGATCTTTTTAAACCCTACAACTTTTGTATTTAACATTTTTTTATACAACGCTTTGTTTTCGAGATATTCAGGTGTTCCGGTATATAATATTCACCCTGTATATACATCCGTATATAGACATTGCATTCACTTCATCCGATGCTAGATTTTACAAAATATAACGATTAGTGATCGATTAATTTCCAATATATTAATGTCTCATTAGAGAAATAATAATATGCTTCTGCTAATCTGCATGAGAAAAATTAAAAAAATTGATCTTGAAATATAAAGTCTATTACAATTAAACGATTTATTGTGCAATAGTTTCAATTTGCAATTTTAATTGAGTGAATCATATAGTATAATGTCCGCGAGTCTAACAGTCTAATAAATATTTGCGGCCTTGTGTTGTCCGGTGAAAATATTACTTCACCATTTGATCACGCTTGTGGAATCTTTTTTTCGAGAATCATACATAATTACAATACCATAAACATTATACCTATCTTCTTCGTAACGACATATTTATGAAGAGACTCTCTATAATTTAAATAGTTTTGTATCATATTTAGCTCTAAAAATGGCGATTACAAATGGAAAGAGACATAAAGAAATGTACAAGCAATAATATTATTCAAATGAAATAATTATTATAATTGAGAGTTGCACTTACATGCACTTACAATTAATTGATAATCGGAACTCTTCTGACGTTTGCGTTAAATAATTGCTTAGCAAGTCATAACAGATAGATTTCCTCAAATTAAATGTTTTAATATAGAAATGTGTTAAGATGTAAAAATTAAAGATTTTTTGTGAATGTTTGTTGAACGAAACTTTATTTTTATAAGTTTTTCGAGCTCATAGTTATATATGTATGTACACAAATCGGAATGATTCTTATTTAAAATAAAAGACGATACAAGCTGGATTTCGTTGAAATATATATTTGAAGGATCAAACTATGAAAATATTGAAAAGTACATTATCAAATAATAAACAATGAAATTACTCGACAACGATATTTCCGTGAAATTGCGTGAAATTCAATTTTTAATCTTGCAACATAAATAATATTAGTATTAGCAAAATCTGAATTAAACTCTGAAACATTTCTTTATCGTGATTATATGTCAGAGAAGATTACTTTATTACGATGTCATAAAAAACGATTAGAAAGTCATAATGTAACTTAATATTAAATCGTATTATCGATAGTATTTGCAAGATGCATTGAGGAACAAAGTAGATAAAGTGGAACAACAAAATATATAAAATGAAAGAAAGTAGAGAAAATATTAAAGAAGTGTTCGCGCGCATACATATTATATCCATATGAAACAATCATCTTATCATATAAAACTCACCCGTAGCCCTGACATTTTGTCGATCGTACGAGGTCATGCAATTTAATTTATGTTACATCTGTTAATACATCTTGGAAATTTCTGATTGCCACTTTTTCTTATATAGTAATCGTTTAATAAAAATAATTTATATATAATTAAATCAATACTGTATTTTACATTTACATAAGACGTATACAATTAAATTAGTTGCAAAAAGAGAGATATGGCAACATTTAAAAAAAAATTAAATAAATATATAAAAATGATAATTTTCAAAAATGTATATGTAATTAAATAAAGCAATAGTTATTAAAACTTTATAACTTAAATATTCAATAGCATAAAAGAATTGAGAAAACACAAAAAGTAAATTATAGGAATAAGTATATCCTATGATTAGGAAAAATTAATTATCACCGCTAATGATTAAAACATAAGAAAATGAAATAACTAACAAAGAAAGGATAGGATATTAAATTGAAACAAGCTAAATAAAATTAAAGGATATTAAAATTAAAAAATAGTTTATACAAATTGAGAGAAATATTACAAACTGGACAGGATTTTTAACACACGTAATACACACATACATATACCTGCACACACACACACACACACACATCACACACACACACGCACACGCGCGCGCACATATGTATATGTGTATATATGTATATTTATTTATTTATATATCTTATAGGATTTAAATATTACAACACATTTTTATAATCTTGATCATTGCGCATTTCATGAGAAAAACAATACACTACAAATAAACTTAACTGATGAATACTCGAGATTAAAAACTTGTCAAAATACGCAATCTTTATAATGATAATCTTTCTACATATTATATTGTTACAAACTCGAAAGCAGTTTATTATAACTTTGCTGTTTTTTAGAAGCAATCCTATTAAAAATCGTATTGTAATGGATACAATTATTCATACATTATTACTAACATTTTCGTAATTCAAGGTTTAAATTACATAATTTTTGCTCAATGACAGACACTCATTGAAACGAAATATGCACAATGCGTATCGAAAAAAAAGGTAACAATATACTTTGGTTAATGAATTTTATATACGATCTTGTTTAAATATTTGAATGTATGTACAATTGGAATAGGATTTATTGAAATTATTACAGTTCATTGCATATTTCCTTTTTGACTATTGTATATATATATATATATATATATATATATATATATATATATATACAATAGTCAAAAATTATCGCGTACGCAATTAATATTAAATTTCGCGTAAATTCAAATAAGTATATGTCCGCGAAAAATTATCGTATTTGAAAATTTTTTTTGTTCTAAAGGGTGAAGTCTCTACTTTAAGAACTTTCATTCGATTTTGATTTCATCCTCTCCTTCTCTCTCCTCTCCTTTAACTGGAAAGGTGTTTTTTGTTTAAAAATTACAAAATTTAACAAACTCTATGGGGTAAAATAAATTTTTTCGCAAATTTTATTCAAAGAAGGGTGTTAAAAAAGTGTCGATTTTTGCTCTCAAGTGCAAAGTTAATAAACGTTGAAAAATCATTGTTTAGATCTTCAGGTAAAAGGAAATGTAATGGACAATTATTTGTTCGAGGAATTGTGAAAACATTGGTAAAATGGCTTAAATGTATTAAAAAATATTATGTATATACATAAATGGTTAATAATTGGAAAACCATAATTCAGAATTGTAAGTACATTTTGCATGTAAAGATCACGGACTGTTTTAGCATTATCTAGAATGCACCACGTGGAGGTATATTCTGTCTAGCATCCCTTAGCAGAGATCAGAAGCCCACAGTTCGTTATTCCTGCGATATTAGAAAATAAAAACAAAAAACACACCTTTCTAGTTAAAGGGGAGAGGAGAGGTGGAAAAATGAAATCAAAATCAAATAAAAGTTTCTTAAAGCACAGACTTCACCCTCTAAAACAAAAAAAAAATTTTTTCAAATACGATAATTTTTCGCGGAAATACGCTTACTTGAACTTATGTGAAATATTGATATTAATTGTGTGTTGCAAAAATTTTTTTGGACAGTGTATATATATATTATACACGTTTTATATTATTATTTATAATCAATTGTCAAATCCAAAATGGTATTCAATATGGGTAATGTAAAGATTAAAATGTTATTTTATAAATCCTTTATATTGAATCCACCATTTTGACAATTTTCTCATTGGGTTCGTATTCAGCGACTAAAAGAATAAATCAACATAATTTAAAACTGTTTGTAACTCGTCAATCAAAGTATGTACTTAGTCAGCTATTGTCACATATTGTTACTATAATATGACAAAGTTCGTGAAACAGACACTTTTTGCACCTTTAATTATAAATTTCTTAAATCGTGACGTGATAGAGCATTTGAAGTCAAATTCGTATTCAGCGTTCAAAAAAAAAAAAAACTATAAGAAACAACTAGTCTCGTTGCAAAAAAAATTATTTTTTTGTTGAACAATGTAATTGGAGCAAGATGTGTTTGAACTACTACATAAACTACAATCAACATGCAGTCGTTGACTTCAATCGATGTGGTTGAAAGGGTCAATATAATACAATAGAGAGGACCTTTGACCACATTAAAATTGAAAGATTGCATACAAAGTTGTTAAATTGTATATTGGTACGTTTATTAATAAGACGCACCTATAACCTGTATAAATAATACATTGTCTTTCTTCCAAAATAAAATATTGCATCACTATTGTACTTTCTCAACAGAATTACAGTTACTATTTATTTTGTTAAATATAGATATATTATAGAATCGCCTCTTTTAATTTACATATTATAAATATACATAATATACACAATTCAGAAGACATTGTTACGAAATAATGAGGATGCTTCTTTTATGTAAATAATTGTAAATTATATTTGCTCTGTGAAAATTTAATATACATATATACTCATACTATTATTCACACAGTACTTTCAATGCTTATAAATAATAGGTCAGTCTAAATTATATAATAACTATTATTAAATATATATTTATCATATAGGTCTTATATAAATAGGTGCATAATATCTATG